GCCGTCACCCAGCGCTATGAGGAGTCAGCGTCTTCTTTTAAAAAAATCTTTTATATTTTGCCCTATTTCCACCCTCACTTCAATTCCCTCACTTGCCCTCCTTTGCCTTGCGTGCCGTTCTGTCCTTTGCCTTTCTTCTGCTTTGCTTCTGCCCTGTCTTGTAGTTTTTTAAAAGTTTTAAAAGTTTATGTTGTGGGGGCCTTAGGGATTTGGGGCATTTTGATTTATCTTTTACTTGTTTGGTCATCTCTTCCTTCGGCTCGCTTCTTCATGGCTTCCTTCTACCTCCTTTTATTTCTTCCTGGAGATCTCCTTATCTCTCTCCTTGTCGCCCGTTTCCCTATCAGGTTTCCTTATGAGGAGCTTGCCTCACTCTTCGTGTTTCTCAGGCTGCGCCTCTCGGGGATGCCGAGAGGGAGGTAGGTGAGGGAACAATGAGAGCTACAACATCCTGGCGAAGGCCGAGGTGCCGCCTGGGATGCAAAGTTAGGAGGGACTGTCGGCAGATTCAATTGATGGAGTGGCAAATGGCGATCCGACAGACTGTTATGCTGATATACTTGGCTTTAAGACGATCCCCCCCCCCCCATTTTTGAGATGATTTTCTTGGCTTAGAAAGTCGTCTAGTATCCCGGAACATACGGTATATTCTTTCATTGAGAAGTGAAAAGCTTGAATGCTCTTAGCTTCTCACCCACACAATTGTTTCTTTGTGTTTAGGTTTGTCTCATCAGCCATGTATATTCTAAGGCAGTAACCCGGATGCCACAGTCTTGTTGAAAAGTCTTACTGGAAAGCAATAGATTTCCTCATGAGAATTGTGACCCAAAATATTTATCTTTAAACAAACTTCAGTTCTGGTTACATAATCTAAAGCTTATAAATGGCAAGTAGAATATATATGCCAATTATTTTCCTTCAGACTTCTGTGGAACATTGGAAACAGTGACCAACTGTAACAAGGCGACTGGATCCTGGAAAGAAATTCAGTAGGTAGACATGATTTATATAAATTATATATGTGGAATAATTATTATTTTGAGTATAAACAAGTTGTCTAGAACAACACTGGCTTATTTTGATTGATTAATGTACTGGATGTATATGGATGTAGGGAAGTAGAAGAGAATTCTCCACATTATAGGAGACTGAGAGTATTTCTTGTTCTTTATGTTCTTTCAGTACTACCATGTGCACAGCATAATGAATCAGTAGACTCACTCATAAATACCTCTTATTGTGCACTGTTCAATATTTCCACTTCCCTTCTAAGGCTGAATATACACTGCCATATAATCCAGTATCTGATCCCTGATTATCTGCTTTGAACTTAATTATATGAGACCATACTGCCATATAATCCAGTTCAAAGCAAATAATCTGAGATTGGAAACTGTATTATATGGCAGTGTAGTAAGGGCCCAAGATTGCAAGCTAGTCCTGGTATAGAGACAATATTCCTGCATTAACTTAGTACAATAGTACTCACTCACTTATACTGAAAGAAGTGTATGTATACACTGCCATATAATCCAGATTATCAGTGGATAATCCACATTATTTATTTATTTATTTATTTGACTTGTATACTGCTACTCCCAATTTGGCTCGGAGCGGTTTACAGCACTAGATTAAAAAAATACAATTAACTTTGAAATACAATAAAACAAGAACAGACATAGTCCTGAGTTATTCACCCACCTTATCTGCTTGAACTGGATGATGTGAGTCTACACTGCCATATAATTCAGTCCACATTGTATAATCTGGATTTTATATGGCAGTGTATTAAGGGCCTCAGAGACCTTTTATGGAGAGACACTAATTACAACTTGTTAATTAGGGTACAAATTGACTGTGTGGGGTTTTTATTTTCTACAGACAACATCAGTTACAAAACCCACCTCCAGTATAAGAGCTCATCTAATGGATTTTTTAAAATGTTCCTTTCTTTTGATCCAGATCATACATCTAAACCATCATGATACTTCTAATTCTTTCTTCACTGGTCCTAGTTGTACCAGCACAAAAATCCACAAGCTCACCTGCACACCGCATTCTTCCAGGATGGTTTCCAAATGCTTGTACCTTAGTTATATGTGATCCACCGGAGAGAGACCCCAAAGGTAAAAAGCAAGGTACTAAACTTTTCAAGGAGTCAGTTGACTCATACTTCTCTGTGTACTAGGGTGACAATTGTATTGTATTAGCTTGGTCCACCCTGGTCTTCCATAACTGATCCTAGAGCTAGAACAACCTGCATTTCTCAAGGACAAGATCTGTATGAAAGATGGCATCATCTATAATCGAGATAAATAATCTGATGGCATTAAAGGTGCTTTTGGACTGCAGCTACCATCATATCCTTCCCATTGAATATGCTACATTGGGTTTATGGGAGTTTTACCAGGTTAACTACCCTAATCAAAAGTAAGAATTTTTCCAATGTGGAGTACATGTACAATGTTGGTATGATTTTTTTTTTGTCGTGTCAGGAGCGACTTGAGAAACTGCAAGTCGCTTCTGGTGTGAGAGAATTGGCCGTCTGCAAGGACGTTGCCCAGGGGATGCCCAGATGATTTGATGTTTTTATCATCCTTGTGGGAGGCTTCTCTCATGTCCGCATATGAGGAGCTGGTGCTGATAGAGGGTGCTCATCCACCTCTCCCCAGATTCGAACCTGCGACCTGTTGGTCTTCAGTCCTGCCGGCACAGGGGTTTAACCCACTGTGCCACCGGGGGCTCCTTGTTGGTATGATGTAATTAATTAAAGTAACATGCTTCCCCACCAAAAAGCAGCTTTTCCTATCAGAATACACACCAAAGATCAATGCATAGTTATATGAAAATATTAGTGCTCTTTGTCCTTACAAAAAAATTAGGAACCCCTTCCCATTCTCAGCACGTATCATTATAGAATTCAATGGGACTGACAGGCCAAACAGTTGCACCATACACTGCACATAGCCTGAAACTTCACCTTCACACATTATTAAAGGGCCTCATCACATTGAGGTCACTAACACATGCGACAGTGGGGGAAATCATAGGGCAGTGTGGAAAATCCATGGGACAGCAGGGGAAACCACCATACTGCACCCTGCATCATTGACTTTCCCATCACATGAGGGAAAGCATCACCGCCAGGCTCCCCTCTGCACTGGTCCAGTGAAAGGCTATGAGAGCATGGGTGGCCACTAGGCATGTGCGTTCAATTAAAAAAAAGTCATTACAAAAGTAGTGGGTGCTAGTGTTTCATTTTTCAAGTGTTTCTTAAGTATAGTTAGTGAAAATTCCATTACTAAATCAAGAGTAACAAAAATGCCTTACTTTTTTGTTATAGTAATTGCGCATAATTACTATAATTGGAGAAACTTCAGAGGCTCCTTTTCCCCACATTTTTACAGCTATTGGGGTGAAACTTGTTAAAATGGTAGAACACATTTACCACTGTTAGTTCATCAAGTTTCAGAACATTTCACTTATCCATGGATTTTGGGGGAATTTTAAAAAATTTCATAAACACCATTGTTTTTTTTAAAAAAAACTACAGGACCTATCTCCTTGAATTTTCTATCCAATGACACAAGATAAAAGGGGATCGTTCCCCCCAACTTTCAGAAATTCTAATACATCTACTGAGTTTAAGGATTTTGCCAGTATTAAAAGTTTTGACAGAAACTTTTTTTAAAAAGCCATAAACAGCTATCTCATTGAATGTCTATCATATTAACCAACCGGAACCAATATTAACCAATTCTACATTTTCATAAAAACCTAGAGTTTGAGAGGACCCCCAAGAGCCATCTTCCAAGCAGAAGGGCGCCATCAAAACTCTCCTGACATATGGTCATCTAACCTCTAAACTCCCTTATTGAATTGGAAGGGACCCCCAAGAGCCATCCATTTAGGGATTACTTCCCAGCACAGAGATTTACTTACTAAAAGTATCAGTCAATCCTTCTCTTTGCAGAGGATGGCTGCTGTTACAAAGGGACAATTCTCTCCTCTATCCTGATTGTGGCTTTCTAGTGTGTGCAGAGTTCTGGGAAATGTAGTTTTGCATTCTCTGCTATTGGGTTCCTCATATTCCCAAACTACATTTCCCAGAGTTCTGTGCTTTCTTTCCCAGCGAACTCTGCTCCCTGCTTTCCCTCCCCTAATGGCAAGAGACCATTAATCTAAAAAGAAAAGGCTGGCTTTTTGGCTTTGTTTTGCCTTCTTGTGCTGAAAACAAAACTGACTTTGGGAGGCTTCAGAGATTTACAAAATTTGAATAAAAAGTATTGGGTAAATTTCAATCCTTAAGTTTTTTGGCGTGGGCCACACCCACGTGTCAGATATCACCTTGTAAGTACGAATTTAATATAGTTGATGGAACTTATGAAAACTAACAAAAAATGCACACCTCTAGTAGACACCCATGTTCTTAGGGGCAAAACGGAATAGTCGTGGATGAATAACTACAATGTATGTGCTTGTGACTGAGCAGAAGATTTCAACCTTGGTTTCTGGTTTCACTGCAAGAAACAACAAAATCCAGGATGGATGAAAAAAGGAGTGTCTTGCTTGCAATTGATCCTCGTTGCTGTCATTCTAAAATCTTTAGTGTTTGAACTAAAACTAAGAAAAGTCAACCACAGTCATTATATAGCCCCTAAATTATGTGCTAAGTCAAGACCGCAAAGACAGAATAGTCATGGACGAGTAACTACAATTTATGGGTTTGTGACTGTGACAGAAGATTTCAACCTCGGTTTTTGGTTCCACTGCAAGAAATGACAAAATCCAGGATGGATAAAAAAGCATTGTCTTGCTTGCAATTGATCCTCGTTGCTGTCATTCTAAAATCTTCTATATTTTAACTAAAACTAAAAAAAAGTTAATCCTTTGGACAATGATTTTTGGAATGTTTCTGCCAATTAACTTCTCCAAACTGCTGATTTTCCAAGCTCTGATTTTAATACCAACAAGAATAATTGTGCTTTTTTACCTTTCAGAACTTGAAGTTCTTAGGACTCATGTTAGTGTTTTAGAAGCAGAACTGAAAGCTCTGCAAATGTCTACACGTAAAACTCATAGAGGTAAGAGAGGAAGCTGTCCGTGTACCTTTGATAACAGTTACATAGGTTTCCAAGGACTTTATCACATGAAGCCACTACTACATGGTAGCTGTATTATCATTGATCCAGATATATGAGAATACGTTTACCAGGAGGAGTACCTTTAAGATCACACTTCCTTTCATTCAGGCAGTTCTGCTGATTTACCAATTTGTAGTCCCATTATCATACTTCTGCATTCCCTTTTAACTCTGCAATTCCACTGAACTATACATTTATTTTTGAATGATTTTACACTATATAAAAAGTAAATAGATATACATCAATAATAATAAATAAACACAAAACAGACAATTGGGAATAGTGAGGGAGAAAGACTCATATCCCCTGATGTCACGTTACTGCTGACATAGTGCCATAGAAGCAGAATGGACACATCACACAAGATAAGTGATTGGAACATTACAGGATTGTGAGTCATTAATGGTTTTCAGTTATCCATAGTAAGGATGGGTTAATCGTAGGGAGGAGGCAGATTAGCAGTAGGATGTATACACCATATTGTGATGGGGACCATCAACAACAATGACAGTCCAGCTTTAATGCCAGTTTGCATAAGTCATGCAATAAAGTCCCAAGAATGTATTCCCTGATAATACACACTGCTCATGTGATAAAATCACATGTGTGAGCAACTAAATTGAACTCTGAACCATATCCAAATTGCTATATTGGATATTTGTAATCAAAACTGGTGTCTGAAGTGCTAACTTTGATTCCATTTTCTGCCAGCCTTTCTTGGCTATATTTTTCCAAACAGTACAAATGCTGGAGCCAAAACATTTGCAACAAATGGAGCCGAAGCTGACTTTCAGACTGCAAAAGAGATGTGTGAACAGTTTGGTGGCCAAATTGCTTCTCCAAGGAACGAAGAAGAAAACAATGCCGTATTAAAACTTGCAACCATGTTTGACAAACATGCATTTCTTGGCATGAATGACCAGGAGACTGAAGGAATTTTTAAGCATCTAAATGGTAATCCCATGGAATATTCAAACTGGGCAAAAGGAGAACCGAATGGGGAACATGAAGACTGCATTGAGATGTATTTGAATGCCAAGTGGAATGATAATACCTGTGATAAGCATCGGCTAATAATGTGTGAATTTTAATCTGACTTGTCTTTAAGAGTATTTCTAAATCTAAACTGGCAGGGTTCATGGAGCTACTAAATAAGGAATTATGTTTTCAGGACATATTTAATTTCGTATCCTGGCAAAGATCCCTTCCATATTGAGATCCAAGAAAGAGCAAAATTTTAAAATGTCACCATGATTGTGAAAAACTCAAATAATTCAACATATGTTGGACCAATTCATATAATTTAATACTGCAGGCTACTTCTTCACACTAGAGAATGAATCCACTTTAAATCTGGTTTCTGCCTCCTATAGAATTCTGGGGTTTGTAGTTTAGTGAGGTTGTTAAAGGCTCCTCCCTAAATTACAAAATTCAAGTGTCTTTAGTAACACACTCATGTACATCAGTGCTGTGTTCTGAATAATTGGCTAGAACATGAATGCTGTGACTATAGATTAGCTATACTTAAGAATATTTTATTGGCGAAGCTATCTTTGGTTGACACTAAATCAGCTTACACTATTTTCAATTGATATCACCTGATTGCCTCTCCACAACCTAGTGATCCTGCCTTTATCTACCGGCATTGCCATTTTACGTAATCATCTTCAGACAATGTCTTTTGATATGTTTTAGGGATCATGATTTTAATTAGAAAGAAGCTTTTGTGGGAATTAATTATGACAAATACATTTCTCTTTTGATACCGTTATACTTAAATAATCTTACCTTTACGAACAAAAGAATGGCCAGATGCAAGGGTGGAGAGAGCTTTTGTACCCATAAAAGTAAAATTGGAATTGCTATAGCTGCTGCTTTTTTCTTTTTTATTATTAAAAGGATGGGAACCCCATCCTCTGTTGCATATGTCAATTCTACTAATGAATAAAAAAGAAAATAACTACATTTTCTCTTCAATGAAGCCTACTTGTGGATATCACCTATGACACATTGACACTGACACTTAATTTGGGCTGCTCCAACACTCACAATGCTCGATTGGCCCAAATATGTGTCCCCACAGGGTCTCCCCCAGTTGGTGCAGAGGTGTGAGGGAGCTCCAATCATCCAGCAGTGTTGAAAATGATTTGGCACCAGAGAACAGCCACCCTAACCCTCCACTTCACAGTGGGCTCTGACTGTGACCTAGGACTTACCTTTTTCTCATTGCTTGCCCTGTCATCATAAGGAGACACTGATGGAGAGAAGAGTAGGGAAAAGAGTAAATGTTCCCTCCTTTCCCAATGCTCCTCAATATCCCAGCTGACATCAGGTCAAGCAAGGGGAACAGGTAGGTCCCATGTAATGGCAGAGACTGGTGCAACATGGAGTATAGGAAGAAGTGAAATAGCAGGGAGAAGGTTTGAGGAAAAGAGACAAAAGAGAGTTCCTGAGGTATGTAAAAGCATGGTTTATTCTCTGTTGGTGCCAACTGGATATGGACCCTGCTGGCATTCCAAAAAACAGAATGCTGAACAAGAGAATTGCCTTAGTTTATATACTCTTTAAAATAATTTGCATGCATCATACAAGCATCTCAATATGCATCATAAAATTCCATATTCAATAGCATATTTTAACTTCAACACCTTTAATTTTCCATTAAGCACCTTTATCTAAAGAGCTGCTTAATAGGCTTGTTTGATTAAAAAAAATAGGTTCAAAACTCATTTCTGATTCGATTCTAAAGTCAATTCCAATTTTCACAGAAAAAAAAGTTCAAAACCTTTTGAAACTTCCAAGACTTCAAAATCTTTCCTTAATGGTTTGAAAGTGTTATTTCCTGTTTCATTGGGTGGTCTTTACTTTGAAAGTAGTTGTTTTACACCAGAAAGGGGGGGGGGAGTAAAGGGAGCAAAGACACCTACTGGGTTTAAAAATGCTATGTAGGCTCCAAAGGGGAAAGGGGGGGAGCAAAGGCACCCAATGGGTTTAAAAACGCTATGCAGGCTCCAAGGGGGAAAGGGGTGGAGCAAAGGCACCCACTGGGTTTTAAAACACTGAATCATTTTCCGACTCACTTACCGCTTCATTAAAGAAATGGCGGAAAAAGCTTCAGAAGGGCAAAGGGACTTCCCGTTTCCTTAAAAAGTTCGAAATCGCTTCAAAAAGCGAATCTTTTCGAATTTATTCGGAATTAAGAACATTCCGTCTGAACCTAACCATGTCTACTGCTTATTAATGTACCATCCTGTAACTCATAGCACCAGAATGTCTGCTGATAGCAAGAACTTCCATCCATCTTAAGATAAGTCCATCCTGAAGAAGGCTCTTGATAGCAAGGCTCATTCATCTTACGATAAGATCTGCTTGGTATTGGGGAAACAAATGAAGGATGACATTTCATAACTTATCACAATCATCACTGGATATTCTTCAAGTGCCCACTATACAAAAACAAAGACTTTACACTCCAGATTAAGAGGCACTAGAGCAAAACCAAAGGTTCAGACAACACATTGTTATGGTTTTCCACATCTTTTTATATGTTGCCAAGTGGAAAGAGATAACATGTTTTTCCTTCTTGAGTGTTAAGCTACTAAGAATGAATATTTCATTTCCCCAACTCATTCAGAAAGTTTAGATTACAACCAGTCACCTTTTGGAACATTTTGTTCAATATTTTATATCTGGATCAAATACACATCTGATGATTTCCCCACATCATGCAGAATGGTTCCTGTTTGAGCAAAGTACTTATCCATCTCCTATTGTTTATTGTTATACTATTACCTCTAGCAAAAGATACACCCAGAACTTTACTCAGCAGGTGTTGATATTTGAATTCCTTTGAGACCTCTTGTCATTTAAATCTTCACTTTGCTTCTTGCAAGATGTTTCCAATATGTGAGTCTATCTGTGACACTTATGTTTAACCATAGAAGGAGACACAGAATGGGAATAATGCAGACTTCCAAATGTTCATGCACTTCAAGTCCCAGGAGCCTGCGTCAGCTTAGTCAAATGATGACACCAACATCTGGAAAGCTGCATGATTCCCAACCTGCTATAAATTCATAACTAGATAGCCCCCTTTTTCAAAGTGATGTTTTGAGACTCTTCCCCTCCCCAACATAATTGTTTGAAAATTAGGAAACTCTAAACTTAATTTTACCTTACCTTGATGACATGGGAGCTGCAGTGGTTCAATGGATTAAACCCTCCCCACACCAAATCTCCTGGCACTTCATTTTCATGCACCAGGAGAGCTCCAGGACCACCTTAAAGGCAGTCTGGTAAGTTTTGAGTATGAAGTTTTTAAATTTTGAGGGTAGTTTTTGGTACTTGGGGAGAAAGAGTGGGCTCCATCTCTCAACTTTGGGCTCCAGGAGCCCAAAAGGTGTGAGATGACAATGGGGGTGAGTCCCCACAGGTCCAATACCCCATTAGATCCAGGCTTTTCAGAAGGTCTGGATCTAATGGGAATATCTAATTCATTTGCAACAAAGTAGGGAAACCAAATTAATTTGCTTTTGCCAGAGGTATTGTTTGGGCACATCAGTTAAAAGTGTGACAGGCCCCTACTTTTTGAGCCTCTCTGGAAGGGCCCTGACAAGAACTAAAACTGGTTCCTAAGCTTCAGATTCTTAAAAAAAAACAAATAAGAAACTGCAAAACTGGAAAGGAAAGGAAAGTAGAGCGATAAAGATAATAAAAGCTAATGCTTTGGGTAAATTTAACCAGGAGGAAGGATTAAATAACATTATTTGGCTTGGCTATTTAAATATTTTGATGATGTCAGAGAGAAAAAGGAGTGTCAAGCTTTAGTGCTAGAAATTATCACGAAAAAGGCTCATGGCTTACAATTATTAACTACTACCCATTTAGCTTAAGGTGATTTAGTTACATGCATCTTTATTACTGTAACTGCCATCTGTCTCAGTAGGGCTTGCTTCCAATAACTGTACTTACAGTAGAACTGTGAAATATAGAATGCAGTGCTACTGTTCCAACATTAAAATATATCTACAATGCAAATTTACACATTGGCTTTGTGCATGTTTGGATCTTATGGATTTATTTCCCCAAAGAATATTATGCTATTTAGGGGCAAAAAATGCATGGTATTTTTAAAACGAAAATGATATTATATAAATACAGTCTTTGTACTGTGATAAGTCAATAAGTATATGCTTTCAATGAAAAGTGAAAAGCTTGAATGCTCTTAGCTTCCCACCCACACAATTGTTTCTTTGTGTTTAGGTTTGTCTCATCAGCCAGGTATATTCTAAGGCAATAACCCGGATGCCACAGTCTTGTTGAAAAGTCTTACTGGAAAGCAATAGACTTGCTCAGGAGAATTATGACCAGAATATTTATCTTTAAACAAACTTCAGTTCTGTTTACATAATCTAAAGCTTATAAATGGCAAGTGGAATATATTTGCCAATTGTTTTCCTTCAGACTTCTGTGGAACATTGGAAACAGTGACCAACTGTAACAAGGCGACTGGATCCTGGAAAGAACTTCAGCAGGTAGAAATGTTTTATATAAATTATATATGTGGGATAATTATTATTTTTGAGTATAAACAAGTTGTCTAGAACAACATTGGCTTATTTTGATTGATTAATGTAATGGCTCTAAAGGGAAGTAGAAGAGAATTCTCCACATTATAGGAGACTGAGAGTATTTCTTGTTCTTTATGCTCTTTCAGTACTACCATGTGCACAGCATAATGAATCAGTAGACTCACTCATAAATGCCTCTTACTGTGCACTGTTCAATATTTCTACTTCCCTTCTAAGGCTGGATACACACTGCCATAAAATCCAGTATCTGATCCCAGATTATCTGCTTTGAACTTAGGGCCTGTCCAGACAGCCCCTTTATTTCGGAAACTTCCACAATAAAAAAGGGGGCTTTCCAGATGACGTTTTGGGCAGTCCTGCATTAATTAGGCACAAGCCAGGAAAACCCTGGTTTGTGTCGAATTAATTTGTTAGTAGATTTATTCTGTGCCTTAATTTGGTAAATCCAGTACTTCTGGGTCTGGACTGCAGAATACTGCAGTCCAGACACCATTCCCACAATTTACCAGGCTAAATAAGACTGGTAAACTGTAGGATTACCCCTTAGAAAAGTAGTAAAAACTTACCTATCCTCCATTAAAAACCTCGGCAAGCTCTCCCAGCCTATAGAAATGATGCGCCGGGAGAGGGGAGGAGAGGAAGCAAAGTCGCTTCCCCCCACTCGCTCTCCTGGCACATCATTTCTATGTGCCAGGAGAGCTTGCCGAGGCATCTAATTGAGAATAGGTAAGTTTTTACTACTTTCTAAGGGGTCTGGGGGCTTGAGGGGAGGGGAGAGGGCCTCTGGACATTCTCTTGGGATAGTCCCAAGAGAGCATCTGGACACCCACGCAAGAAAACGTGCTCTTTCTGGTGTGGGTGCGGACAATCCCCCACAAACATCCGCATTTTTTAATGCGAATGTCTGTGGGATCAAGGGCTATCAGGAATCGCCCTACATTATAGGAGACTATATTGTCATATAATCCAGTTCAAAGGAATGTTTACCATATATATGTTGTGCTCCACCCTGAGTCCCCTGTGGGGTGAGAAGGGTGGAATATAAATGTTTTAAATAAATAAATAAATAATCTGAGATTGAAAACTGGATTTTATGGCAATATACAAGGGGCCTAAGATTGCAAACTAGTCCTGGTATAGAGACTGTATTCCTGCATTAACTTTAGTGTTCCTAGAAAATAAATCATATGTACAAATTGGCAATAGTATTCACTCACTGAAAGAAGTGCATGTATACACTCAGGCCCCTTCTACACTTCCATATAATCCAGATTATCAGTGAATAATCCACATTATCTGCTTGAACTGGATGATGTGAGTCTACATTGCCATATAATTCAGTTCAAATTGTATAATCTGGATTTTATATGGCAATGTATTAGGGGCCTCAGAGACCTTTTATGGAGAGACACTAATTACAACTTGCTAATTAGGGTAGAAATTAACTGTGTGGGGTTTTTATTTTCTACTGACAATATCAGTTGCAAGACACATCTCCAGTGTGAGGGCTCATCTAATTTTTTTTAATGTTCCTTTATTTTTATCCAGATCATACATCTAAACCATCATGATACTTCTAATTCTTTCTTCACTGGTCCTAGTTGCACCAGCACAAAAACCCACAAGCTCACCTGCACACCGCATTCTTCCAGGATGGTTTCCAAATGCTTGTACATTAGTTATATGTGCTCCACCAGAGAAAGACTCCAAAGATGGAAAGCAAGGTACTAAACTTTTCAAGGAGTCCGTTGACTCCTACTTCTCTGTTTACTAGGGTGAGAATAGGCAAGCTTTGGTCTTCCATAACTGATCCTAGAGCCAGAACAACCTGCATTTTTCAAGGGCAAGATCTGTATGAAAGATGGCATCATCTATAATGGAGATATAACCATGTTCTCAGGGCTGTCATGGAGTCATATTGGCCCTGTTAACCTGGGAGTTTATTGGTGAATACCTGGTTTCTCACATATCCAGGATCCAAGAGTAATTAGAAATGCAAGTGGGAGCAACCTGAGTGTTAAGGGACCTTGGGTGAATAATGCCTGACCACTGGTCTGGCTTCGGGGGGGGGGGGGGGGCAAACATACCCATTAGAAATACTTCCAAAGAACTTTTAGCTACATTTCTTGAAAAGAAATATAATTTAAAATGTTTTAAAAGTACATGTACCTATTGTTCTTTTAAAAAATCCTTTTGGTACATAGAGACAGCATTCTGATGGAAGAATTTAAAGTATTACAGCATAAGAAATCTCATATGTTTGACCAGACATTTTTGATAAAATCTGTTCATCTCTATAGGAGTATTTCCCCCCTCTCTTAGAATTACCAAGAATCCAAGAACTGTGGGGTCCACCAGCGCCACCCTCCAAACCAGGATCAAAAGGAGATGATCATCTTCCAGGCAAGTATATACTATCATCATTGATCTAGTAGCAATAGTAGAAGTAATAATAGTAGCAGTGATATTGCTAGGCATTGCACAAAAGATAAATTCATATGGCCACAGATGTCAGAGCTAATGAGGAGTGAGTCTTAAAATCTTATTTCTTTTTATTATATACAAATAAGTAAGGTTGTCACATATCTGGGATGCACTTGTAGGTATTTCCCATCTGGATCTCATCCATCTTTCCCAATAAAGTCATTACTAATGAATTAGACTAAAACCAGAAAATTCTTAGTTCTTCACAGAACATAACACACAAGATGGCAGCTGCCCAAATAGAAATATTTCAGCTTAGCTAGAAAAGCAACATAGCAGCAGGGATGTAAAAATATTTGAAATTTGTCTCACATTTGACTTTGTTTAAAAAGCTATAAACCGTAGTAGTGAAACAGTCTCTGTGTTTGCAATTTTGAGAGTTTTTATGTGAAACAGGTCCTTGTTGAATTTTTTTTTTTGCTAATAAAGGAATTCTGAAAAGAGAAAATCATTTAAAAGTAAGCAAAGACTCCAGTAAACTTGCCCAGTAGTGACAAAACTTTTGAGATGGTAAGTTAAGCAGATGCCATTTTAACCCAATTAGAAAAAAAGTTCAGTACTGTTACGACCTTATCATAAAGCTCCGCTTTGCCAAGTGTCTGGGGAGGAATGAGGGAGCAGCAAGGAGAATCTGTCACCCCTCACACAGCTCCCTTTCTGTGATATTTTCCTCATCATATGGGGAAAGTGTCACCATTGCAGGGAGACCTGCCATGTTGCTGTTGGGGGTGGTGGTGGCCTATGCTGGTAGTCACACAATGTTATGTGATGTCCAGCATCGGCCTCCATGGGGTTACTGCATTCCAGGATGTTAAAATCACACCATCTGATTTTATTTATT